AGTAAGAGTAAAGCAAAAGCAAAAAAGTAACATCACATAATAAGGATACGGGTGGCTCCAAAGCCAAGTCATTTGCCATGCGTGATCTCCTGTCGACCTCCGTCGACCATAAATAAGGTCCGTAGAACTTCACTTGTACACCCACGACACCTTATCACCCTCACTGGCCAGTCACCTCACAAACTTGCCCAGGCGAACGAAATCACAAACTTGAGCTTGAGTCGCAAGCTCGGGTCACAAACTTGGTGACCTCAATCCAGGTTGGACTGACTTCAACCAAGCCCTAACCGGCTCGAATAGTCCATCTAGGTATTGAGTTCAACCTCAAACTCACAAAATTCACAAAATTATTCAAAAGTCACCCCGAGCCACAAGCTCAAGGGTTTTAGTTCCAAAATTTCTCATATACATATGTCATGTACAAATAAGCGCGCAAATTAGGGTTTAGGTCGAGCGCGATAAAGTACACTCTCGCCTAGGTACCCTTTTTACGCATAACGAAACACATAAACAACTAACACATAAGAGCGGCTGAATACTTACTCAAAATACCAACAGTAGTATAAAGGCGGAATTCACTTTGTGTGTTGGCTAATAGTGGGTCCCACCTCCGATATACGTTCTTAATATCTCAAAAACTAACTAATACTAGAAAAAATCATCTAAAACTATATTTACTCATAATACTTATCTGGGAAACTTTTCTACTAAAGAAATGTAGAAAATGCGGGTTTTCAATCTTAACGGAAATTAGGGTTTCTTCTTAGCCCCTAACCCTAATATCAGCTTACGAACGGTCTGGGTCCTCACAATATGAATGCAAATCTAGGCCTAATGGCTATCGGTGGGGTCAATATGTCTCTTCGATTTTTAGTTGGTGCAAATTGCATTAAATTGCGATGCCCAAAATTGATTCTTTGATGAGTCACGAGTATGCAAAATATGAGACTCGAAAAAAAAAGAAAAGAAAAAAATAATAATATACAAATATACATGACCTAAAGGAATGCATCATAACGGGTGTGGGAACTTAAGATTCGTGACTAGATTTTCCTTTTTATGGAGGGAATACGAGCGTGCTAAGACTAAGAAGCCATACTCGTCCATATCTCATATTTAAAGGGTAATTCTCCTAATTTAGATCAAGCAAATGATCTAACCTATTTCTCATTTTTCTTAAATGAAATGCAAGTCTAATGTCATGTCTCACACATAGGGATAAGGGATATATATGCAAAAAATGGTAAGGATCCTAAAAAGTAGAAAATATGTATGAAATGTAGTGATTTGTCACACAAAACATGATCTAGTGCATGGACGGTCCCTAAGGGTCTAGCACTGGACTAACCCATGTCTACAAGTTCTCACTAGTATTGGACTAGCGAGAAAACGGGAAAAAGGGTTACAACTAGCATTGGACTAGTGTAATGACGTCATGCATTTATTATAACTAAATAAATCGTATAAAATATAATAAAAGTAAATAAACACATAAATCACATATAGCACATAGCACATAAGCATAATATCTAGATGCAAAGAACCTTGGAAAGCGAGTAAACAAACAAGCACACAAACAAATAAAAGCAAATAGAGACCTAACTATTACATTTGGGGCCCTATCTACAATCTAAAAAGGGGGAAAGAATAAAATAAAATAAAATAAATACCTAACTATTACATATTCTATCTAAATACATGTCTTGAACCCCCTAACTATTACAATTTGGTATTTAAATGCCCCTTAAATAATCAAAAATTAAATTAAGATGAATATACGAAATTAAAAGAAACAAATAAAATGCATAAATAAACAAAACAAAACAACATAAAAGAATTCAAAAAAATGCAATTACACACATAAATTCACATAGGGTCACGTAAAATCCAAATAAAGGAGTAAAATGTACCTCCCTTGAATTGGTTACCTAATGAAATGAAATTTTTCTTATTTATCCTCCAAAACAGAGAAAAAAGTCAAGGCATCACTTTAATTAACAAATAATCACAATAAATGGAAATAAACATGACATTGAACAATCAAAGCATTTAAATGAAAGTAAACAACCCATATTCAAGAAATTAAAACAAGCAAGGACCTAATTGAAACAATTATAGAAGTTTGAGGGGTCAATTTATTATTATTACAAATATTAAGGGTCTAAATTAAAATAAAATAAAGTTAAAGGCTTAAGATGAAGCCTACCAAAACCAAATGCTAAAATTCACACTATAATTAAACAACAAAATTACCCAAAATTTCACTAAAAATCCGAATCAAAACTATAAATTTATCAAAAATTATTATTCTCTCCTAAAACTTATGAATAATCTGTCCAAAAATCACATTAAAGCATATCAAAGAAAATTAACATTTTAAAAGGACAAAATTAATTGATTTTTCAAATTTCTGGGCCACAGTAAAATAAAGGAAAACTTGAGGAGTTAAAATGCAATTTTCGAAAGTTTTGCATTCAACTGATCGAAGAAGCTTTCTGTAACTAAAGCTTTTCGCTACTCCTGATGCTTTGGAACTTCAGCAACCTTATGCGGCGAGAAAAACTTTAACAACAACAAGGATTGACCTCCAAGTTCTCATTACATTTCATAAACTCATTATCAAGATACCATGTTATTCACACAAAAGAAAAGAAAATCTGGAATGTGGAGAAAAGCTTGCATAATCCTAAATACTAAACTCATCAAACGTTTGAACATATAACACAGATTTGGACAGGATTCCTCAACCCAAAATCAAACATCGATCTAAGCAAAAAAAACACAGAAATTCATCGTCCAAACATACAAATTTCAATCCCAGAAATGCAATCTTCTTCGCAGAGGCTCTCTTATTCTACGACATTTCATTCTGCGGCTATGACCGATAACAGCAGCAGTTTCTTGACCACCCCAACATCAAAACATCATTTGGCTTTATATTAAAGGAAGAAATGCAACCCTTTTTCACAAAAATCGCAACCCAACACAAGATTCTGCAGCCCAGGTTCAAATTTAAGGAGACAGTGAGGTAATGAAAGAAGAAAAATGGAAATTTTGACTCCTTGTTACAAAGCCATTCTCATAATTTTTTAATCCCCTTTTCAATCATATCAAAGGATCATCAAAATTGCATCAAGTGACTAAAGCAAAACATCGAGTGTATAGCTAAGGTAATCCCCAAATCAATGCGATAGAAAGATGAACATAGTTATTGAATGTCGATAACAGCAAAAACAACTCAACACCCGCATCTAATTAGCTTGAATCTTCACAAAAGTTACACAAAAGGAAGAAAAGGAGAAGCAAAAGGTTACCTCAGAATATGAAATACTCCAGGAGAGTTGCGCTGATTCTTGGGATGGAATAAAAAAAATCTGTTGCTGCAACTTCAGTAGTGACTAACTCATTTCTTTGAGGCTAGATTCAGCTGTCCTGGAGCGGTTTTCTCCCAGTGATTCATGAATGAAATGTCTTCTACTGTCTCCCAAGAGAGCGCAGAAGCCAAAAAACCTCACAAAAAACTACAATCGAAGGAGAAATCTGGCCCCAAAGAAGGCTGGTTCGTCAGCTTGGTTAGAGTTTTTGCAGAAAATTTTCTGCACTTTTTTGAAATTTCCCTCTCTTTTCTTTCTTGTTGTTGCTGTTTTTCCTTCCCCTCAGATCCTCTTCTCTTCCCTTCCTTCCTTGTTTTCTCTTTTCCTCCTCTTTTCCTCTCAGTTGTTCCTTTCTTTTTCCGGTTCCTTTTTCTTCCTTTTTTCGAAAACCCTCTTTTTCCTTTTCTCTTCTTCCCTGCTCGTAACCTCTTTCTTGTTTCTTCCTCAGCCTTCCTCTGTTGCTCGAAGCTTCCCTCACTCTCCCTCTTTTGTTCCAGATTCTTCCTCCTCTCCCTTTCTTTCCCTTTGCCCCGCAGCCTCTCCTTTTTTCTTTCTTTTTTTGCTTGGTTTCTCTCCCTCTTGATTCCCGTAGCTTCTTCCTCCTCTCCCTCTCATTTTCAGATTTTTCTCCAAAATTCCCCAAATCTACAAGTGTCTTGCACCTAATCTAGCAAGTGTTGTGGTGTCAACAAAAAATAGGACACTTGTCTAACCCTTACCTATCCCACTTAGTTAGTTTGCATGGCCTCCACCTATCTATTATGCATGTGTTCCACATATTTTTCCTTTTTAATTTTTTTGTTTTCCAAAACAAATTTAGGATAAATAACAAATGTCACATTATTTTTTTTTATTTTACCTTGCAAAAATTCATTTTATTTTATTTTGAAAAAAATTGAAAAGATAAAAAAGATTAGAATTTTTGTAAGATTTTTCTTTTTGTTTAGAAATTTAATGAAAAAAATGTCTTAAAAAGGAAAATGATGAACCTAATTTACAAAAATAAGCAAAAATAAACACTAACTATCATTTTGCAAACTTAGTCAATTAAAATAAAATAAAATAAAACTATAATAAATAAAAACATAAAGCTAAAATTAAAGTAAATAAAATTGAAATTTTGGTATCCACAATTCTTACTCTTGTCCACATAGTTCACTTTATGACCAGATTCTAATTCTTTCTTTTGGAGTATCTTAGCATCTTCCTTTATACGGAGATGCTTCAAGATTTGGTCCACTGAGAACGATACAGTTGTGTGTAGAAATTTCTTTTGATAATCATTCCAACAAGGAGCAACTTTGATATAATTGCCCCCACTTGCAATGATTCAGAAATCTCAACACCTAGATCTTTAAGTTTCTAAACCAAAACTTGCAGATCATGCAATTGTTCAAGAAGAGAATAATCTTCCGTAATGACGAAGTCAACATACTTTTAATAAGAAATTTGTTCGGATCTAGCTTTTGTGCACTATACTTGTACTCCAAAACCGTCCAAATCTCCCTTGGCGACTTGACGGATGTATACATGTCGTAGAGCCTATCTGAGAGAGTATCCATGATATGGCCTCTACACAATAGTTCGTCATTTTCTGGTTGTCTGCTTGGAATCTTTAGAAGGACAATGTCTATAATGGTTATTGGTTTTGGTTATCAATTTTCTTGTTCATTGTAAGATTTTCTAAGCTTGTAGGCCATAGGTGTGTTATACGAAGTGATTCGTCTTTCTCCTAATCTTTCTGATCCATATCATAGGCTCGGGCTCATCTATAATGAGATGGGTGATAAGAACAAAGCCTTGGATTTCTACATGATTGCTGCCCATTTAACCCCAAGGGATGCATCTCTGTGGAAGCTTCTTGTGACATGGTCCGCAGAATAAGGTGACATGGTCCACAGGACAACCCAGGTACCGCCTTTTTAAAGCAATAAGAGAATATCCGGAGGATATGAATTTGCGGTTTCACCGTCCATCCCTTTACGTTGAGTCGGGTGATTATTTTAAAGCTGCTGATTCATATGAGCAAATTTCACAGCTCTGTCATGACAATGTAAAGGTACTACAGACTGCGGCCCAGCTGTATAAAATGTGGCCAATCTGAGCGTGCAGTCAGTATACTGGAAAGCTATCTCAGAAATTGTTGCAAGCAACCTGATTTAAATGTGATTGATATATTGGCTTCACTACACATAGAAGGCAATGCACATCTAAAAGCCCTCGAGCATATTGAGAACGCACAGCAGGTTTACTGCTCTGGGAAAGAGATGCCATTATGTCTACGTATAAAAGCTGGAATATGTCATATTCACTTTGGAAACTTTGTAAAACCAGAAGCTCTTATCAATGTTTTGAGAAATGAGAATTTACATGATCATCCCCAGTTGATTATTGAGATTGAAGATTCACTAATGAATCACGGGCATTACGAATCTGCACTAGAATACTATATGATGTTTGTGAGAACCCGTAAATCCTCTTAATAATTTTCCTAGGGTTTATCCCCTTTAATGGCATGTTTTCTGCATTTTCTGGCTTAGGACATTTTTCTGGTGAATTTTATGAGTAAATATAATTTTTAGGTGATTTTTCTAGTATTGACTAGGTTTTGAGAAACTAAGAGTGAATACCGGACGTGGGACCCACTAGTGCGAAAAGTTCGGCAAAATTCGGCCAATTAGGTTAAATTCCGGATACTGTGTAAAATTTATCGGGTGTTAAGAGCTAAGTAGAGTGTGTGAAATGATTGATGTGAGAGGTAAAAGAAAAGATAGGATTGCATTTATGAGAGTGACAAGTGTCAAATAGTTATTGGATTTGACTTAAGAAAGACTATTCACTATTTTGACTTTTGACCCAAGGAAGTAAATATCTCAAAAATCCACAAAAAATTACCATTTTCTTACCTTGTGTTGGCCGGCTCTCTCTCTTGCAAGAAGGAAGGAAATTCTTCAACTTTCTAGTTTCCATTTCACTCAATCTTCCAAAACCAACCACATAACTTAGATTCTACTCCATAAAATTTCTCCCTTGGGTGCTAGTAAGTAGTTTAGTGAAGTTTGTTTGAAGATTTAAGGTGTCCAACATCTTCCTCTCTCTTGATTACTTGGTAAGTGGTATATGAACACCCTCCTATATTTAATGATGTTGAATTTATGCCTAATGGTGGCTTGAGTGATGGAATGTGTGATTTATTTCTTAATTTGAAGTGATTTGGTGAAGTTTTTATATTTTTTGAGGAATTTTCTGGTTTCATATGTTCTTGATGGTGTGGTTGTTTTTAATGGTTGGTAATAAGGGGCTTTGACTCTAGTAGGTGTGAATTGTTGATAAATGCAATCAATTTTGGATTTGGATTGAATTGAGAAATGTTAGGGTTTCAAAACCCCTAATTCTGTCCGATTTTGGATCATAGGGTTAAAGGCCGAATTGGACTTTGCTCAAAACATGAAAGTTGTAGGTATTGATGTGTTTGAGATTCCTGTAAAATTTCAGGGCATTTGGAGTAGTGTAGAGTGAGATATGTCGATTTTACTGTTGCTGTTCTGGGTTGATCAGAATGTGCGAACTGCGCTTGTAATCGTCTGTTTTGACTGGAATTGATTTGGATTTTGTTGTTGATGTCTTCTGATGAAATGTAGCTTGATGTCTTAGCTATCATATTCCTTTGGAATCAATGCATTTGGACCTGTATAGACTGAATTGGACTGATTACAGTTTTGTGTGATATGGGAACCTGCAATTTCGATTCTGGTTTGGTATTTGGCATATATGACTTAGTTGTGCTGGGATTTGGACTGAGTGGCCTTCTACATTGTTGTAGCCCTGGTTCTTAGCTTCGAAACGGTGGGTCTTGCACCTTCATCCGACCATCGTAGTGCTTTTGGCACCATTACCGCAAAAGGACGTCAAAACTGTTTTCTGGTTTTGAGTAATTGTGGTTAATTGCTATGTGATTGGGTTTGATTGTAGGATGGAAAGGATGAATTTAGGGGAGGTGCTGCCCGATTTTATAGGCCGTTTGGTTCCTTTAAGTTGGATTTGCCTTTTTGTGGAAATGAAAGGCTTTTGGGTTGTTTGCGCCTAAGTCTTCATGTTACCTTTTCGTTTCTAAGAAAATCATGTTTTTGCACCCTTGCATTAGTATTTATTTGACAAGGCGTACGACGTGTAGTCGAGCCTCACTTGTGCATTCTGTTTACTCGATTCTGGAAGTAAAACCTTCAATTGGTTTATTTTGATTATTTTAGGATTTCTTGGCGATTACGGCCAATCTGAAGTGAAAACTTTTGAAGTTGAGCCGGTGAGTGTTCCACTACCTGCTACCCATTATGTGAAATATCTGAATATCTGAATACTTGATTTATGACTATTGAAGCCAAATACTGTTTTGATAAAATGGAGGCGAGGGTGTACTTTATCACACTCGTTCTTCTATCTGTTCATATGCCACTTTTTAATGCCTATCTGAATCTGCCGTCTGAATCTGCTATCTGAATCTGCTATTTTGTATCTGTATCTGAATCCGTTATCTGTGTCTGCATCTGTTCGGATTTCTATGACCTATGAGCACAATCTTGTGGCTAAGTTATTCGAGTCGGGCCGGCAAGGGCCTGGACGATTAGATAACGAACCACGGTAGTCTGTTCGGGGATTTTTGGGTATTGAGACCCTTGATTCCGGTATACTCGAGTATTACCATTTCTGTTGGGTTACGGTGAGCGGGCCCGGTAAAGGGGTGTTTGGTGGACGGAATTCGGTGTAAAGAGGGGTCTACAGACGTTTTGGTTCTATATACGTTGACGAAGAGTCAACCGGTTTGGATCAAGTACTGCGCTGGAAATTTGGCTCCTGAGAGTCACCCGTATCCTTCTGATTTGAATCATTGGTTCCTTTACTTTACATCTGGCATGTGTATCTGATTTGTTAAATGTGAAATGCCATGATTTTTCTGCTATATGTTTGGTACCTCATTGAGCGCAAGCTCACCCCTTTCTGTTCCTTTTGTTTTCTTTACAGGAAAATAAACCCTTTTGGTCTGGATTTGACAAATGGCTGCCAAATTGAGCTAGTTGAACATATCTTTTGTATAGCTCATGTATTAAAACCCTAAGTGTACTTTTGGGGCGTTTTCTCTTTTGATTTGGCAAACCGTGTATATGTATTAACTTTTGAAAACTTTTGTATCTCATTTTGGATTGAAATTTTGGATTGTAATCGCTAAAGTTCAGATGTGAATGTTTGCGTGCTCTTTCGGTTGGGTTCTGACGGGTCGGTTACTATCATGGCCGACTCCGGATTTCATTTTCTTATTTTGGGTTATGTTGCCATTTTGACTTGTTTACGCTCGTTTGTAAGTTCCGGATCGCAATAGATAGTTTTAGTCTGTATCGTTAGTCCTGGCGAGAGTTGGGCAGGCAGCCCGCTAACCCCTTTGGTTCGCCTTAGGGGAAGGTGGGGCTGTTACAATGTTGGTAGGAGATGATGTTAAGAACAATGGTTGCCTGTATCTGAAAATTGCTGAATGTTGCAGTTGTCTGGGGAAGCGATTGCAATCAATTGATTACTTCTCCAGAGCTTTAGACAAACTTAAGAATAGTGTTGATGCTTGGTTGGCTTTGTCATTACTTCTTCTTGAAGAAAATAAAGATGACGAAGCCATTTCTCTTCTCTGTCCTCCTAAAGAATCAGAATCACTATTTAACTTGAACCTAAATGCAGCAAAACCATGGTGGCTTAATGGGAAGATAAAGTTGAAGCTTTCTCAAATCTATAAAGCTAAAGGATTGTTCGAGGCATTTGTAGATGTAACTTTTCCTACAAAACTATGAAAAGGTTCTTACAATGCATGAAAGTGATTGCCCCATGCCGAACCTTCCAAATGAGAAACCAGATGGTCTGGCTTCCCAAAAACCAAGTTACTGTGATCTTTGTCGGGAAGCAGCTTACAATTTGCACCTGATCTACAAGAAAAGTGGAGCAATTGATCTTGCCAGGCAAATCTTGAGAGATCATTGTGTCATATGATTCCTGTAATGTAATTTCTTTGTTTATGGAAAAGCCACATTTGATATGTCTTGCTTTGTCTAGCAACACAGACATTTAACCCTAGAAATGGTAGTTGTCTGTGTTTGCAAAGTATGTCTTTTGTTGTCTACTTACAACACAAATAAGCGGCTGAAAATCTAAACCTTACAATTGCAAACTCCCTCTAGCGTGTACTTCTAAAATTTGGAATCTTTACCATTCAAAAAATTTGTACGGCGAAGATTGCTTTTGATTGAGATGTGCAGGCTGATCGGACAGTGATAAGCTTAAGACCTGGAGGTGGAAGCTGAGGTGGCAGCAGAGTGCTTGGTCCTCGTTTTTAACCCTCTTCAATCAATAACGACGACACCAATTCTTCTGATCTCCCTTTTTTCCAGCCTCATGTCAGCGCCCGCTCCACTCTCCTCGTTCAAGTCTAATTGTCATCTGTTTAAAAATTACATGTCATGTCTTGGGTTTTCTGGTTTCTGTCCATGTTTACCTCAATTATCTAGCTGTTCATTGCTTCAAGATTGGATTTTTGGTATATAAAGATACTTGTTTTTTTGTTTGTTCTTTCTGGGCTTATCTAGTTTTAGTTAGTACGTTAAACTTTTGATGAATTTATTCCTAGTTCTTAGTTAATTTGGTGAACAGATTAAAAAATTTTGGGACTTTTATGGTTTGGTGTGTAAGTGAAGCTGTTTGGTGCTGATTCTGTATTTAGTTTTGTAGATTCTAGTTTAGTTTTGGGTTTAGTGCTAAATTTTTTGGTTTTGGATTTTTAAGAAGAAGTTTTGCAGCTGATTATGGAAAGTATGAGTCATGTTCTTGCTGGTTTTGATTGTTAAATTTTTGAATTTGAGGTTTGGCGGACTTACTAGTGCAGGAAACATGGTAGCAGCTGTGTTATTGGAAATTAGCATGGCCATTTGTATGTGTGAAAAAATGTATAATCACATAGATATGTGCACATATTGTATTTGCAGAAAGTTGTTTTCTGCTTAATGTTTGGCAAGATATTTGTATTTAAGAATGTCATTTGTCATTTTCTACATTATGTTCGGCAAGGTATTTGTTTCCAAGAATGTTGTTTTGTGCATTATGTTCGGCAAGGAATTTGTTTTCCAAGAAGCATGTGCTTTCTCCTCCGTATCAAGTACAACAGATAATGTGGTTGGATCATGGAAATCTTGTTCATTTATGTGTATGGAGCCTTTCTTTTAACACAGTTGAAGATGACAGTGCTAAGCTAATTAAAAATTCTTGAACTTTGCAGCAGCACTGGGATGCAAGCCATTTATGTAGCTTATTGGTTTCTCTTCTTGCTTGAAAATAGTCCTGATTTGAGAAAGATGATATTGATTCCTTGATCGGGCTGATATTAACGTGCTTAGCTGGAGTTTTATAAGCCAAAATTTAATTGTTGAGTTCTCAACTTATTCATTCCTCAAACTCAGTGTTTTCTCTTCAGATAATTTGGTTTAGGTACTCGATTCTTTTCTGAAAATATTCTTGGGATGCTAATTATGGTATCCTTGTGACGGCCCCACCTCCCCCTAGGGCGTACCCCACGGGTCGGCGGGTCGCCTGCCCAACTCGCGGCAGGATTCGATTCCAAAAACGATAAAATAAATTTCACGCGAAAAGAAAATTCTATATACACTATTACATCAAGTCATACATACCACTAGTACCAGAAAGTAAACCCTAGAAAAGCTGATAACTATAACCACCACAACAAATATATACATCTTACTAGTCAACTTATAACAAGTACTAGGGCAAAATCAAGTATTCTAGAAACCAAAAGTCTATACACCTTCCCGAACTTTCCCCGCGTCGGCCCCTGCTAAGGAAAACAAATGGAATGGGGTAAGCTATATGCTTAGTGAATAATCGGGGGTAAAAACGTAAAATCACATCGAAATAAACATGTAACCCAAGATATTTCACATCAATAGACAGAAATGTAACATCACAATGGTAGGATACAGGTGGCTTCAAAACCAGTTCATTTCCTCGAACTTGAATGCATGTTGACATTCCGCCAACCAAAATACTCATCGTCCGTAGACTCCACTTAATTTTTCCCGTTCACCTTATCAACCCCCGCTGGCCAGTCAACAGCACACAGCAGCTCGAGCAAAATAAATCACTTAGCTTTAACAAAGAACGAAATCCCAAGGTTAGCATGGAACTATCTTTGACCAAGCCCCGGCTGGCTCGAATAGTCCGTCTACCCTTGGAACTGGGATGGAACCAATCCCTGAGATATCCAATCTCTCAATAGATGATATTTTTCAACAAAGTACTCACCCCAACAGCACATAGCACAAGGGGTTCAACTCAAGTCATGTAATCACCCTAACAGCACACAGCAAAAGGGTGATACTCAACACAAGGTATGTATTCTCATATATTAAATCAAAACAAAGGATGGGTTTAAGTAGAGTGAGATAAAGTACACCCTCACCTAAGTACCCATTTAACATATACAAGTCACCTTGACAATTTATCACATAAATAAACCCAATTACTCACTCAAAATAGTTAGCACGTAAATCAAGGCACTTTATACGGGTCCACCGACTTCGTCCGGTTCGTCACTGCCTGTGATACGAAATATGGGCCGCTTATGGGCTGCAAGAGATTGAATCTTTTAGTAATAGTTAGTAGTCTATTTTCTAGATTTCTAGTTTATTTGCTAGGAATAAATTCGGTCCAAGACCTCATGTTGAGTTGGATCCGATTTATAGAGTCTAGGCTCACTATAACTTAAGTTGGTTAAGTAGCTTTTGTGAGAACCCTGAAAATATATATATAAATATTAGTGCATATTTCATTTGCATTTATAATTCTTTGATAGATTTTAGCATAAAATCTAATTGTTTTTAAATACGTACGTAGAAATAAATTTTATGTGCAAAATAAAAGAATTGTGCTAAACTATTAAATTTCCTAGTTTAGTTACATTAAATTCATATTTCGAAGGTAAATTATTTCATTGATTTAACAATTAATTTCTTTGAATTCCGATAGTTAGTTTTAATCGTTAATAATGTTAAGTGTTAATAGGAACCTTAGCAATAAGATGAATTTGGTAAATTCTAGATAAAATCGATACAAGTATACTAAGTTCGCCTAGAACGTAAAAACCTTGAAATTATAAATATACATATATGTACGTGTTGCATGTACATTTTAGATCTTTAATAAACGTTGTTATTATCTGGTCTTAAATAAGTGTGCAAAAATAATTTGTTTTAGATTACAAATAATTCAATTGTGCAAGATAGTAGATTATTTGAATTTTTTGCCAAGTAAAGGTAATTTTTCTTGATGTTGAGTGTGCCATTGTTTTTATTTTAATTCTTTGGTTCCAATAACTAATTTTAAGTATTAACGACGATAGGTTAAAAAGGAAATTTTTCACGGTAAGACGACATTAATGAATTTTAGATAAATATTATACAAGTATGCGAAACATACTCAAGGCGTGAAATTTCGATAATTAAAGTCTTGCATGACTAGTGTATAATTAGGCTTTCAAATCACACTTGGGGATAATTTTTGGAGTTAAGTTAGAATGGAGAATTTAAGTAGAGGTTAGGAAGCAAAGTGGAAAGACAAAAATGCCCTTACAACCACAACATTTCCATGCATAACCAAACAATCCCTCTGACAGCATTTCAATCACCGCCCCAATCGGCCAATCACATTTTTACCAATTCTACACGCAACCATTTCATACACTCCAACTTCTCTCAAACCGCGACTCCATCTCCATTACAAAACCAGAACACAGCAACATTTCTGCTCCACTTCGCACCACCACACCCCACCTTCACCTGGCTAAGAAGACAGAGAGAGAGAGAGGTGAGAAACCAGCCATCCGAGAGCAAGAGTGCGAGAAAGCAAGCCGCAAAAATTTTCTTACTCTCGTTCTGACCGCGAGCTGAGGGCAGAAATCAGAGGACCACGCATGAAAGCAATCGATCCTGTACCTTCCCTTCTCCCAGCCGTGGCCATTTGCAACCTCAACCAAGCTGCATTTCACCATCCCAGCCGCAACTCATCAAACCAGAACCAAACCTGTGCGAGAAGTCGAGAGGAAGGAAAGAGAATTTCCAGATTTTCGTGTGGGAGCTGAGTGTTTCTGAGGTAATCTCTGAGCCTAATTAAACTGATTAGAGGTTGATGGAACTAATTAGTGACATGCATGTTGAATTTTGGGCGTTGGTTGATGATCTAGAAAAGCAGAAAGAAATTTCTGAGGTGCGCATACCTACTTGGCTGAAACTGAGTTGGAAGTGCAGCCTTAATCTCACTCATTTGTGGTAATTTGAGCTCAGAAATATGATTATTTATCTTAGGACTAGAGGATTAAGCTTTGCATGTTGATTTTAAACCATCGGATGAGACATTAGAAAAAGAAAAAAATCTGATTGGATGGCTAAATGGTTCGGCCGAGAGATTAACAAGGTAATGCAGTTTCTAATCTGTCCAATTTTGATAACCTGAGGTTGAGATCATGACAAGTTAACTAAAAGGTGAAAGATTAAGTTGATTAGGGTGTTGCATGTGGAATCTAGACTCGGATGATGATGTTAAGGCATAGGAAAATTCTGTTTTGAAAAGAAAATAAAATGAAAACAGAAAGTTCTTCATGCATGTTCATCCGTGACTAGCTAGACAGATTTCTGGATTTTTGGGATGTTTGAAGCTGTTATTCGAATTCGATTTTGAACCAGAAATGTTAATTAGCTAGCCAAAGGTTCACATGACGAATTTGAGAATCTAA